CTCCCTCTCTCCTCCCTGCCAGGCACATGCATACAACACATACACTCATATAAATATATATGCAAACTCCCTAAATAAACTGCAAACTCCTTGAGGATAGGGACTATGTCTTGAATACCTTTGACTCCATCAGTACCTTACAATGTGTTGTGTGTAAGTAGGTATTGAAATGTTTGTGGAATGAATAATAAAGTACAATGGATTGTTAGAGAAGGGTCTTTGAACAAATGGGCTCACTAAAGGTAGATAATATAGGTAAAGAATAGATTCTGAGATTTCACTATCTCGTCTGCTTTCTGTATATATCCTATATCTACTCCAGGGTAAACAGCTGTGTGAAGAGTGATGAGCATGTCCTGGAAGAGTTGGAAACAGAAGGGGAGAGGCAGCTGAAAAGCCTCCTTCAGCATCAACTTGACACCTCTGTCTCCTTTGAGGAGTAAGTACTGACTTTGCAAACAGGTATAGAGTATCATAGACCCTCACCTCTAGGTGACCCTCTTAAAGCCTGGATGGAACACTCCTCTCCCACCCCGCTTTCCTTGACAAACGCCTACATATTAGACAGGGTTTCGCCTCTGTGTCTCTTCCTCTACAAATCTTCCCATATTCCACTTTGTCTAGGCTAAGTACCTTTCCTGTGTCTTCCCTTAACATACATAGCACTTAGAACCCAGTATTATCATTGCCTGTTTATTTGCCTCTCCTTCCAGTGTTCTTCCACAAAGGCAGAAACCATTTTTATCTTTTTAACCTCAGTACCCAGCACAATGCCTGATGCATAGTAGATATTCAATAAATAAATATTTGATTCAGTCAATTATTAGTCCTGGATGAGGGGACTATTGGTGGAGTTCCATATTGTTGTAGTGGTGTTTCAGCCTAGAAATAGCACTCGAGAGAGAAATTGTTGATGAGTTTCATTGTGCCTCTTTTAATGGCAAGCTCCATTTCTGTGAATTGTGGTAACTTGAAGATGTTCTTACTCTCTTCCTTCTTGGTTTGCAGATGTGTATCTAAGAAAGAGAGCTTTGCTCCTGGTACTATGTACAAGCCCTTTGGGAAGGAAGCAGCTGGGACTATGACTTTATCCCAGTTCCAAACACTGCATGAAAAGGACCAGGAAACTGCTGCTCTTAGGGAACTAGGGCTCAATGAAACAGAGATCTTAATCTGGAAGAGCCATGTTTCAGGTGAAAAGGTGAGTGGGACAATTTTTTTCTAGAAAATGGAGAGCAGTATCTCTTCATTTGGCACCAAGAACTTTTTTATTTTTAGTTCTTACAAAACTGAACTTTGTGTCTGAATCTTCTTTGGTTCCTAGGACAGGGACCTTGGAAAAGAGAAGCTATCCCTTGACTGATTAGCTGCAACATCTGTAAATGCTCCTTTCTGGGCCCTGATCATCTTCTTTCTTACTTGAGGGATCAGACTATCCCTTTCAGGGTGTGTCCTCTATGATATATGCCCTCTCATTTCTCTGGTTTCAGAGGACAAGACTGAGGGCAACCCCTGAAGCAATACAAAACTGTCTTCAAGATATTGAAGAAAGGATCTCGGAGCGCCAGCGCATCCTTTGCCTGCCACAGAGATTTGCAAAGAGCAAACAGCTGACCCGGCGAGAAATGGAAATAGAAAAGTCTTTATTTCAGGGAGCTGATCGTCACTCCTTCCTTAAGGCTCTTTATTACCAAGGTATGTGATCGCCACTAACTTTGATATGTTCTTTCACTGAGAGAGAGATTTACCATCAGCATATTAAATACGAAGAGTTAGCGAAGAGGGTAGGGGGAAGTCAAACTATTACTACTCTTGAGGAATGTGTAGTCCTGTAAGAGAGACAAATATGTTCAGAGTTAGTTGCAATTCAATTGCTGTCTGTAAACATGCGAATAAAATGCTGAGGGAGCATAGAACATAGAGTATCTAAGTCTAGTTGGAGGAGCCAGGAGTTGACATTTGTACTAAGTCTTGATGGAGTAACGTACATTTGTCAGGTTACCTAGGTGGAGAGGGCATTACAGATAATAGGTGAATAGGAAGAAGATTGTGAAAGGACCTGGAACAATGAAAAGTTCAGTGTGGTAGGCAGTATAGGACTTGGCAGGGAATTAATTACAGGAGATGACACTAGAAAGGAAGGTGAGGCTAGATTGTAAGTTTTTAGACTGAACTATAAATTAGCCCAAAATGTATAGAGAATGGTCTGTGTCTTAATCAGAAAGAATGAGATTAACAGATAGGTTTTGCCAGGCACTGTGGAAGGTGCCCAGAAGTTTAAGAAATGGTTCCTGACTTTGTGCCAATTACAATCAGGTTTGAGAGAAACATGACATTTTGGTAACAATGCTAGATACAGTTGTTAAGTGCTGTAGGAGTTCAGAGGAGGGAAAGGCTACTGTGAATTAACATGACCAAAAAAGTCCTCTCAGAGGAGGTAAGATTTAAATGTTCTTTAATACTACCTATTCTTTAGGAAGGAGAAAGAAAGGCATTTCTGTTGGAGCAGATTTTGTGATCACTATGGTGTGTTCGAGGGTGTTATGAGAAACAAAGGAGCTAAAATTACTTTTCTGTGGTGGGGTGTATTCAGTTAGTTAGCTGGGATATGGTTAAAGGTTTTTGAGCCAGGAGTAACATGAGAAAAGCAGTATTCGAAAATGATTAATGTGGTGACCAAGAAATACAGGGTGAGGCAAAAGTAGGTTTATATGGAAAATAATACAATAATTAATAAATAATAATACAAGAATAAGCTCTGTATTTTGCCTACCCACAACTGTAAACCTACTTTTGCCCCACCATGTATGATGAAAGAGAGGAAAAGATGGAAGCAGGGGATATGATTTAGGAGGTAATACAGTCCTTTAGGCATGAAGATATGGACTACAAAGATGGCAGTGGAATTGGAAAGAGAGGTAGGTATGGTTGTAAGAGACATTACAAAGGAAGAATTGGTAAAACTTGTTGACTGAGGCTGAAGGAGGACAGTCAATAGAGAGGAGTATGTCAAAGGTAACCCAGATGTTTCAAGGCTGTGTGACTTAACAATTGTCAAAATTAAGAAAGCTTTTATGGGGAAATTTTGAGGAAAATAATGAGTTTGGTTTTGAACATGTTGAATTAGTGAGAATGGCAGGATCATTAAATATAGATATTGAGGATACAGAAATGCAACAGTGAAGCTCAGGAGAGAGGTCAGAACTAGATCTCTAGAATTGGGAATCATCTGTGCTTAGATCATAGGTAAAGCCATGAGAATGAATGAATGATTTGTTAGAGACCACAGACATGGAAGAACAGTGGTGAAGGAAGGAAAAGAACAAATGAATAGCCTTTGTAGAGAGACATTATAACATACTGATTAAGAACATGGGCTCTGGAAGCATACTCCTGGGAAAATTCTGGTGCCTCACTTACTAGCTATAAGATTCTGGACAAGTTACCTCTCTATGCTTCAGTTTCTTTGTTTGTAAAATGAGAATATTTATAGTAGCTATCTAGTAGGATTGTTAGGAGAATTCAGGTAATACATGGAAACCACTTAGAGCAGTGCCTGGTATTTGGGGGTGGGCGGGTGGTGTATGAATCTGTTCTGTTTCCTATCTTTGAAACTCCTTGCTTTAAACCTTCACAGCATACCACAAAAAGACAAGTGCAGACAAGTACATGACCTCAATGAAGAGGAAGATAAAATTAGGCACAAAAGGCAAGTCGAGAGTTTTCTTACAGTGTTAGATTTAGGAATGTAACCTAGGGTCCCAGACTTCTAAGTTGAGTGCTTATTTAATTCCATATTCAGTATATAACAATGTTTCTAGGAAATGATCCAGAGAGAGCATATTATCCTGATATAGAATATTAAAGAGAGGAGCTAGAAGAAGTTGTAAAGCTTTTACATTTAGTGTTGTTGAGTTTTTTCTCTATACCTTTAAGTTATTGTATCAGACATAAAACAACCTAATGATTTTTAGATACTATTTCACAAGTAACTCTGAATATTTTTATTAATCAGTAAAGTATAACTATTGATGATGATGATGATGATGATATAATAGCTAATATTTTCTTTTATTTTTAACATGAACTTACAATAAAATTGCCTGATTTTTTATATACAGTTCTGTGAATTGTAAATCATGTAATTCATTTAGATTCATGTAATCACCACCACAGTCAGGACAGAGCTCCATCACCACTCCACCCATAATTTCTGGCAATCACTGATCTGTTTTCCATCACTGTAGTTTTGTCTCTTAGAGAATGTCTTACAAATGGAATCACAAGATATATAATCTTTTGAGAGTACCTTCTTTCATTCAGTGTAATGCCGTTGAGATTCATCTAAGTTGTGTATATCAATAGTTCATTCATTTTGCTAAGTAGTGTTCCATTGTATGGATGTTCCAAAGTTTGTTTATACATTCACCCATCGAAGTGTATTTGAGCTGTTTTCAGGTTATGGTGATTATGAATAATACTGATATGAACATTCTTGTACAGGTTTATGTGTGAACATAAAATTTTTATTTCTCTAAGGTAAATATCTAGGAGTGGGATTACTGGGTCATATGGTAAGTGTTTGTTTAACTTTATAAGAAACTGCAAAACCATTTTCCAGAGTGGCTAAATCATTTTGCATTTCCACCAGCAATGTATGAGAGTTCCAGTTGCTCTACATCTTTGTCAGCATTTGGTATTGTTGATATTTATTTTAGTTATTCTATTAACTGTGAAGTGGTATTTCATTGTAGTTTTAATTTGCACTTCCTCAGTGGCTAATGATGTTGAACATCTTTTCATATGCTTATTTGCCATCCTTATATCCTGTTTGCTGAAGTGTCTGTTCAAATCTTTGGCTGTTTTTAATTGGGTTGTTTATTTTCTTCCTGATGACTTTTGAGAGTTCTTTATAATATTCTAAACACAATTCTTTGTTGGATATCTGATTTGCAAATATTTTATCCCATTATGTAGCTTGTCTTTTCATTCTTTTAACACTGTCTTTTGTGGAACAAACTTTTTATTGTGGTAAAATATATCTAACTAAAATTTACTGTTTTAACCATTTTTAAGTGTTGAGTTCTGTGGCATTAAGTATATACATTGTTGTGCAACCATCACCACCGTTTATCTACACAACTTTTTCATCTTTCCAAACTGAAACTCTGTACCCATTAAAAAACGCTAACTCCCCATTCCCCCCTCTCCTGGCAACCACCATTCTAATTTGTGTCTCTATGAATTTGACTATGCTAGGTACCTCATGTAAGTGGGATCATATAATATTTGTGTCTGGCTTATTTCACTTAGCATAATGTCGTCAAGGTTATCCATGTTGTAGCATGTGTCAGAATTTCCTTCCTTTTTAAGGCTGACTAATATTCCATCGTGTGGATACACCACATTTTAATCTATTCATCTGTCAGTAGACAGTTGTGTTGCTTCTACCTTTTGACTGTTGTGAATAATGCTGCTATGAACCTGGATTTACAAGTATCTGTTGAAGTCTCTGCTTTAAATTTTTTTGAGTAAATACCCAGAAGTAGAATTGCTGGGTCATATGGTAATTCTGTGTTTATTTATTCTTTTAAGTAACCCCCATACTGGTTTCCATAAAGGCTATATCATTTTACATTCCCACCACCAATGCACAAGGGTTCCAATTTCTCTGTACCCTTGCCAACAGTTATTTTCTTTTATTAATTTTTATAATAGCCATCCTAATGCGTGTGAAGTGGAATTTCCTTATAGTTTTGTTTTGCATTTCCCTAATGACTAGTGATGTTGAACATCCTTTAATGTGCTTTTTGGCCATTTGTATATCTTTGGAGAAATGTCTATTTAAGTCCTTTGCTATTTTTTAAATGGGTTGTTTGTTTATTTTTTGTTGGGTTTTAGCAGTTCTTTATATATTCTGGATATTGATCCCTTATCAGATATATGATGTGCCTTCTCACTCTGTTGATAGTGCCCTTTGATGCACAAAAGTTTTTATTTTTGATGAAGTCCAGTTTCTCAATTTTCTTTTGTTACCTGTGTTTTTGCTGTCATATCCAATAAATCACTGCCAAAGCTAATGTCATAAAGCTTTTCTCCTATATTATCTTCTGAGAGTTTTATAGTTTTAGCTCTTACATTTAGGCCTTTAGTCCATTTTGAGTACTTTTTGTGTATGATATAAGATAAGGGTCTAACTTCATTTTTTTAATGTTGGTATTTAGTTTTTCCAGTACTACTTGATGAAAACACTGCCCTTCTCCATTAAATGGACTTAGCACCCTCTCTGAGAATCATTTGACCATTAATACAAGAGGTTCTCCATTCTGTTCCATTGTTTTATATTTCTGTCTTTATGCTAATACTACACTTTTAATTACTGTAGATTTGTAGTAAGTTTTGAAGTCAGTAACTTTGTTCTTCTTTTTAAAGATTGTTTTCACTACCTGTGGTCCCTTCAAATACCATTTGAATTTTAGGATGGCTTTTCCTGCTTCTGTAAAAATTGTCATTGGGATTTTGATAGAGATTATATTGAACCTGTCGATCACTTTGGGTAGCATTGACATCTTAACGATATTAAGCCCATGAACATGGAATGTCTTTGCATTTGTTTGTGTCTTTAATTTCTTTCAGCAATATTTTTTAGTTTTCAGTGTACAAGTTTTTTGCCTCATCAAATGCTTTAAATTTTG